GGGATCCTGCTGCTGCCCTGCCTAGGTGTATCAGGAGGCCAGAGCTCACAAGGCAAATGCCTGTTCAAAAGTGGGTGCTTGGTAGAGCCGAGGGCTTTGTGGCTCCTTACAGGCCAGGCGTTGAAAAGTGGTTGTGAGGTGTCCTCTGTCACCTCAGCTTGTGTATTGCTGCTCTCTTTGCAACTTCCTGGGGAACATCTTGCCCAGACCCAGGGCTTGTGTCTCTGGACTTTGTTTAAAATCCTAAAACATGAGCCAGGTGTGGGAGTGGTGTAGAGCAGAGCTGATTTCTGGCCTCTTGCAGACAGAGGAGGAAAGTACCATCCTGCAGATGGAGAAGAATCTACGCACGCGTGTGGAGGAGCTGCAGAGGCAGAAGCAGGACCGGAAGCAGGAGCTGAAGGCCCTGCAGGAACAGGACCGGGACCTGTGTGATATCCTGTGCACAGCCCTGTTCAGCATTGACAGCAGTGCCGTGCCCAGCCTGGAGGACCTGGACTGCTACCGGCGTCACGTGGCCTCCCTCAACACCCTGAAGGTGAGCGGAGAGACTGAGGGGGTTGGTGAAGGACCCATGGGGGGCCCACTGGTTCCTGACACTGCCCCTCACCCCCAGGAGCAAAGGCGGGAAGAGTTTGTCAGCAACAAGCGTCAGATCATCCTGCTCATGGAGGAGCTGGACCACACCCCGGACACCAGCTTCGAGCGGGACGTGGTGTGCGAGAACGAGGAGGAGTTCTGCCTGTCCAAGGACAACATCGTGGCCCTCCAGAACCTGCTGCAGCAGGTACGCCGTGCACCAAGGCAGCATTTGGGGCTGCTGTGGGTTCTGACGGCAGCTGCCATCACAATGCAAGAGTGACCGCTGGCTTTCGGGCAAGGCTGTATGTCAGAGCATCCCTTTGGGGGGTTTGAGGAGATCTTGGGTGCCGAGTGCATGGCTTTGCGGGTGTAGCAGAGCCAAGGGCTGCACTGACCCCCTGCTCCCCCTCCCTGCAGCTGGAAGCCCGGCGGGCTCTGAACGAGGCCGTGTGTGCGGAGCTGCGCTCCAGGATTGTCGCGCTCTGGGAAAGGCTGCAGATCCCACAGGAGGAGAGAGAGACCTCGGCCGTGCACGTGGATGGGTGCAGAGCCAAAACCAGGAGAGCTGTAAGGACCCTGCTATGCCCAAGGCAGGAGGGCTGGGGGTAGTAGCTCCTGAAGCTCTCATGCTCCTGTTTGCTCAGTCAGTGGTGAAGGGAGTGGGCCAAATCCTGCCCTCGTGAGGGGAGGAGCTGGGGGTTGGTGCTGGCAGCTGCCTCATCCTAGAAAGTGGCTTGTGCAGAAGATGAATCCTGTTCTGCCCCTCCTTTTTCTCCCTGACCTGTGCTCTGATCCTGGGAGCAGTTGCAGTTGGAAGTGGACCACCTGGAGGAGCTGAAGCTGCAGAACATGAAATCCGTGATCCAGGCAATCCGGGCAGAGCTGGCTGACTACTGGGACAAATGTTTCTACAGCCAGGAGCAGAGGGAAGGCTTCGGCCCCTTCTATGATGGTGGGTGCCAGCTGGCCAGGCGGCTGTGGGGAGGGGTCCAGGGGTCCCAGCTGCCCCCTGACCAGGCTATTGTGCCCTTCCAGAGGATTACACAGAGACCCTGCTCGAGCTGCATGATCACGAGGTGGGCAAGATAAAGAGCTACTATGAAACACACAAAGATCTGTTTGAGGCGGTTCAGAAATGGGAGGAGAACTGGAAGCTGTTCCTGGAGCTGGAGGTATTGTCTGGGCAGGAGCACACCGGGTCATGGGGCAGCACACACCTCTGCTCCCAGGGGCTGAGCACTCTGGGAAGGAGCAGGGAGGCACTGGGGAGGCACAGTGGGCCAGTGCAGGGATGAGGTGCTGTCTTGAGCACTGGGGTGTTTGTGCAAGGCTGGCTCCCCGGGGGGTGGGGGGAGCTGGGTGGTGTGTTTAAGTCTCTACTGATCCCCTTTCTCTACCAGAGAAAAGCAACTGACCCCAGCCGCTTCACCAACCGCGGGGGGAACCTGCTAAAGGAGGAAAAGCAGCGAGCAAAGCTGCAGAAGACACTGTCCAGGGTAGGTCTAGCCCTGGGGAAGGAGCTGTGGTCCCACTGACCAAGGAGAAGGGATCCCTGAGCATGGGGACACCCACGTTTGGTCAGTCCCTACACTGACCTCATGTCCTGATCAGCTGCAGGAGGAGCTGGAGAGAAAGGTCGAAGCCTGGGAGCAGGAGTTCAAGGAGCCTTTCCTGGTTAAGGGGCAGCAGTTCATGGAATACGTGTCAGAGCAGTGGCAGCTGTACCGCCTAGAGAAGGAGAAGGAGAAGCAGGAGCGGGTGAGTGTGGAGCTGAGCATGCTGGCTCCTGCCTGGGAATGCCACCCTGGGAGTGTCTGTGGTGGGCCCCAGTGGCCCCCAGCTGCTGCCCTGGGCTTTGTCTGCTCAATCCCAGCCTGGAAGCAGCAGGTGGTGGGACAGGTGCCCATTGCTGTTGTGTCTGTGTGTGCTGAGCCCCTTTCTTGGCCCCAGCTGTGCCAGAGGTGCCACTTGGCTCTGGATACCTGTAAATGTTTGGTGAAATTCCTGCTGCATGGCCTTGCCAAGCTGTTGGCAGGGCAGAGCCCACTGGCAGTGGCACAGAGATGCCCCAGCTCCACGGTGTTCAGGTGTGTAAGTGCACATGTCTCCCGCAGCACCTGAAGAAGAGCCGGCAGATAGAAACGGAGATGCTGTATGGCAGCACCCCACGGACCCCCATCAAGCGGCGTGGCCTCAGTCCCCACACACCTGCCAAAGTAAGGAAGGTAAAATGTCCCTGTGGAGCAGTGCAGCTGGGCCGGGGCCCTGCTCGGAGCTGAGCTCTCCCCAGGCTGGAGCCTGGCCTTGGGCTGGCCTTGGCCCCGCAGGAGGGGTCAAGGTGCTGTGGCTCTGCAGGGAGGTGTCCCTCGTGTAATGTGTGCTCTGCTTTCTCCTCAGTTCCACGGCACCTCCATCACCAGCACTACCCCAAACAGCACTGTTCGCTCAGCCTTTGGGGGAACCATCTCCCACTCACCCACGTCTCGGCTGCCGCCCTCTGGGAAGAAGGTGGGGGGCCTTGGGGGACCTGCCCAGGGCTGGGATGGGCAAACCAGGGCGGCACAGCTCTGCCTGTTGTCACCCTGTGCTTCTCTGCTTCCCCTGCCAAGTTCCTGGGGGGCTGCAGCTCCTGTTTGTCTGCAGCCTGCTCTGTGAGGCTGCTGCCATCCTGGTGGGGAGTTTCTGGGACCTGAGGGAGGAGGAGGGTGGCAGGAAATCTTTCTCCAGCCCAGATTTCTAGTGTACCCCTGTTCCTTGCTGCTGAGCCTGCAGCTTGGGGGACCTTCAAAATATGGTTGTGCTGCTGGACAGGGCCTGAGCACCCTTAGTCTAGTGGGTGGCACCCCTGCCACTGGGGTGGAACAAGATGGGCTTTTTAAGGTCCCTTCCCACCCAAACCATTTCCAGGATTCTGTGACTCTATGCTATATGTTTCTGAGATTAGAATCCAGCCCCAGACTCCAGAGAGCACCCAGAGCCTGACACCGCTCTGGCCTCACAGAGGGACAGGCACTGAAGCTGCCTCAGCTCTCCTGCCTCCACTCAATTCCTGCATCCCGTAACTGTTGCCTCCTCCTGCAGTTTGGCCGTGCCCGGACCCCCAGCCGCGCGGCAGCAAAGCCCCCCCGACCCAGGCTGAGGCAGTGGAACAAGGAGAACGTGTCCCAGCTGGATGGAACCACCCTGAGCGGTGGGTGCACCCCCACAGCCCCTGCCCAGCGTAACCACAGCGTTAGTTCTGTTGCCAGCACCTATTCTGAGTTTGTGGTAATTCACCTCTTCTAACCCCACCCCCTCCCCAGGCGGCACAGGACAGATGCTCCCCCTTCCCCGAGCACCCCCAGGGCTGTGTCCCCCCCATGTCCCCACGTAGGGTGGCTGCTCCTGCCCGTGCCTGTGGCTCCACATAGAGAATTTCAAACTGCAGTTTGGTGGTGGAGGTCTCACGCTGCTCCTGCCTCAGGTCACACACGGCCCTGAGCAGCCAGTGGGGACAGACACCAGCACAGGGGCCAGGCTGGGCTCAACGATACCCCTGTGTGGGGACAGAGCCCAAGGCCCAGCTCTGCTTGTTGAGCCCGTAAGGGGGACCCTGCTTCAGTCCCACCTTCTCCACTAGTCTCTGGGGGTGGTGGGGTGAGCAGAGCCTGCAGGGGGCTGCCAGTGGATGGGGCTTTGCTCTCTAGGGCTGGGGGGCCCTGGGCAGCCTCTGTTCTTTTGTCAGGATGGGCTGAGCCTGAGCTTTACCTTTGTGTGACAGTGGACTGCCCCAATCTCTTCCCTGTGGCAACTGACCTGGTGTTGGGGCACCCTGTGTGCCCTGGAACTGGGCTGAAGGGTTCCCTGTTCCAGGCTGTGCTCCCAGGCTGGCACGCAGACTTGGGTAGGGCTGGGGCTGATTTGTGATGGAAGCAGATTCCTGCCAGGAGTTCCCTTCCTCCAGCAGCTGAACACAACTGTTCCTGTCCCCTTCTCCTACTGATGCTGCAGATTTTAGGAGGTCTCTAAACATGGACAAAGAGGTTTAGAAAGGAGACATTGTTTATTCTGACCAGGGTGCAAGGTGGGAGTTCCCACAAATCAAGCACCCAACTATCAAAACTTTTTACTATTTATACATTTTAGCAAAACAAAGGCATTAATGTTCATTGGCTACAGGTTACATAGTTCTATTATTAATTAGTTTTCTATCTCCCTTTAGCAGGTTGGGCTGCCCTCCCTGCCCATCCCGACCTCTCTCTGCGTCCCTACTGACCTTCGAAGCAGTGGCCCTGACCTTGCTGCCCCTCCCTCCTTCCCTTCATCCCCCTCTTCCCCTTCTTGTTCCCACAGCGCGAACTTTCAAAGGCTTCCAGCTCTGAAAGCACCTCCCGCATCCTCAACTCCACCACCACCAACGCCTCGTGCTGAGGCCCCTGCACCCGGCAGCGTCACCCACTCCAGGATAACCCACCTCCAGCTCCCCCCTTGAGAAATTTGCTTTTATTTAAAAGATTTTTCCAGATGTTGTGAATAAAGTCCCTGTACAGTCCACAAGTCCAAGTCTGTTGGGGTGGTGCCTGTGGTGAGGAGGAGAAGAAATGGGGGGAAGGAGGGGGATGGGGGGGGGGCAAACTCAACACCCCAAAATCTCAGGTGCAGCTCTGGGAGTCTGAGCCAAGCAGGAGCCACCCTCAGGGCCTGCAGCCTCAATCCATGTCCTGACTGGTCTTGGGGCTGGTCCTGTAGAGCAAAGCTCGCCCTCATCCTCCTCCTGGCAGCAGCCATGGCTGGGGGGGCTCCAGGGCCTCATGGCTCCAACACGCGGACATAGGTGGTCCAAGGCCCGCACACCACCTCCTCCGCCCGCAGCCCCTCGGCCACCAGGTGCTCGACCCGACGTGCCTGGTCAGAGCTGGCAGTGTCCCCGTGTCCCAGCTGTCCGTATTTACCTGCAGACACAGTTGTGACACAATGTGGCCCGGGGCCTCACAGGGTGATGGCTCCTGGACGTTTGTGGGGGAGAGGGAACGCCAGAGTCCCCTGGCGCAAACGGGCCCCTCACAGTGATAAAAGAGCCAAGGGTGAAGGAGCAGGAACCAGAAGCTGCTCCTGTGGGGGTTTGTAAGGTCCCAAAGCCGAGGTGTCACTTACCCCAGCCCCAGGTGTAGAGCTCTCCACCTCCTGCAAGCAGGACAGCACCATCAGCCAGTGCCTGGTGAGCCCCTGCCCCCCTCAGCCCCCCCCTCACCCCCAGGGGTGCTGCCCCCAGCCCCACCAGGCACTCACGTGTGACAACAGCTGTGTGTCGGGACCCACAGCTGACCCCACTGACCTCCAGGTCCTGTGGCAGATCCAGCAGCGCTGGGAATGCCTGGATGGAGATGAATGGGGTGTCTTTGGCAGCCGACTGCTCCTGGCGGGGCACCAGCTTGGCATTTCCTGTTGAAGAGCTGACTCTCAGGTCCCAGGAGCGACTGGGCACCGCCAGCATTTCCTGCAGGCTTGAACTGCACCGGTCCTGCATTCAGCCGTGCAGAGACCCTGCACCCCCTGCCCCCAGCCCAGCCAGCAGCACCCACCTGTGTGCACATCATCCTGAGCCCGCTCCTCTACCAGTGCCTTGGAGGGCAGAGCCAGCTGCCCTGACTCGTTCCAGCCCCACATGTACAGGTCTCCTGCCTCTGCAGGGTGGAGGGGAAATGCATCAGGCTGAGTTCAGCCCTTAGCAGCAGCGCCGGGTGCTCTGGGGGCACCAGCACCCCATTCCCCACCCCTGGGCCAGGTCCCACCAGGGCCGTACGCTGCCACCAGTGCCCTGACCTCCCATGCCAGGCCCAGCCCCTCACCACTAACGCTGGCCGAATGCCACCCGCCAGCTGCCACTGCCCACATGGGCACCCCGGCCAGCGCCTCCACCAGCCGTGGCTGCGGCTCCGACTCCAGCGTCCCGTGGCCGAGCTGCCCATGCCTGCAGGGACACACAGAGGGACAGACAGACAGATACCCCCATATGCCACTGCCTCCAGTCCTCCTGCCTCCTGCCCACACTCCCCACCAAGCCCTTCCTGCTGCCACTGACACAGCCCCAGCCTCCCATGGCCACCCAATGCCGGGGGGTGCAGCGGAGACACAGGGCTCAGGTTGGGGCAGGGAAGGAGGGTGCCCCCACGCCCCACAGCTTGGTGAGCTGCAGCAGGCATGACACAACATGTGAGACAAGAGTCTGTGTCATCAAACAATTGGTGTGCACTGTGCAGCGATGACACAACTTCAGATTGATCAATATTTTTATGAGTCAGTGCAGTGAGCAAGGGATCGACTGCAGAGCTCATTGGGCCATGCTGAGCCAGCAACCAGCAGTGCCAATCCGTTTGGCCCCAAGCCTTGAAGCACAGGAAGGATCCCACCAGGGACAAGTTTGGGCTCATCCCAGGAAGGCACCAGCTGCCAGCACAAATGTTTTCCATGGTGGGCACAAATGAGGGCAGGATCTAAAGACACACCCTAAGGCGTGTGAATCCTCCCTACGTGGGCAAACTGTGTCTCCCTGCGTGCTGCCAACCGTGGGACGGGGGGCACAGGCAGCGCCAGCCATGGGATGACACAGCTCCCAGGACCATCCAGGCTGGCAGAGCTTGAGATGCTGAAGGGCAGAGCTGACTCCAGGAATAGGGAAAAGCCGAGTGTTGGTGGTAGGGCGATGCCCAGCACCAGATCCCAATTACAGCCAGGGGTCACTGGGGAGCAGTGGGACAGACCACTGGGGGCTTTAGTTGTCAGAGCTGGGGCAGAAGCAGGAGGAGCTGGCGGGGGCTGTAGGAGGGAGAGGAGCAGCTTGGCCTGTGTGGTCTGGGGAGCACCAATATGACAGCCCGGACAGCCAACAGCTGTGCTAATGCACAGCACTGGGAAGCATTTTCACCTTCCATAGGAGGAATCAGCAGAGGACCAAGGCAAAGAGACACTGAGAGCTCAGGGACAGGGAAGGGTGTGCTGCAATGGGAAAGGGGCTCCAGCCCGACAGGGTGATGGCAACCACAGCCAGCAGTAAGAGAGGGGCTACAAAGGGGTGAGCTGGGCCAGCACCTGTCTGTTACACAGCAGAGCTGTCACACTGCAGGACACAGCTGGCACAGGGATGGGTGAGAGGATTCTCAGCCGTGTTGAATAACCAAATTCCAAAAAGGTTAATCCTAAAGTACACATTCCCACATATAGAAACCTTTCCTCTGAAGGCAAGAAGGATAAAACAACGTAGTGTCTGCAAAGCAAGAACTGCTGATGTAAACTGAGTTTTGTGTTTGCTACCAGCTGGCCTAGAGCCAGCAACTGAGGAGAAGGGACTGGGGAGTGAAAAGCTCCTGAGCGATGAGGAATGGGGAGGGCACTGGGCCCAGGTATGCAGCTTGTGACACTGACTGATGGTCAGTACTGCGTTTGTTTTCCATAAGTGGCAAAGAAAGAGGAACACAGCACCCCTTCCACCCTACAGACAGGAACAGCCAGTTCCTGTGGCCAAGCCTCATCATGCATCAGCAGAACTCAGGGATCCAGAGCACAGGGACCTGGGGCCGGGCTCTCTGGTGCCTCCTTGGAAAACCTGACTGGGGGAGCACACGCACAAGCAACCCCCAAATGAACAAACACCTCCGTGGGAATAAACTGAGCGATGCCGCTGGCTGTTAAATGTACCCAAGTTCAGCGGCTGGCAGGTGACACGGGGCACCAGGGCTGGAGGCTTTTCCCAAGGGGTTCACTGCTCTCCCACAGGCTGTAGCAGAGGGATCTGGCACTGAACTGTCAGACTGATGGAACAAACCTCCAGCTCGGAAACATAGAGCTGGTGTTGGTGTGGCAAGTTAACAGAGGAGCAGGAACAGAGCAGGGACCTCAGTGGTTACACAGAGACACCCAAGTGTCCTTGGAGGCTGCCCAGAGGGGGTCACAAGCCAGAGTAGAGGCCCCACAGGAGCCATGGCCCTGGCACCTGCAGAGGAGACACGAGTGCTCGTGGGGCCAGCAAGAGGGGACACAGAGGAAATGGGAGCATGGCCAGGCCAGCCGTCCCTGGGAGAAGCTGCGAGTTGGGTTGCCTGTGCCAGAGGGATGTGCTGGTACCCAGCGGGACCTGGCTTGGGTGAGGAACAGATCCCATCAGCATGGGGGTGAGCACAGGGCACCTGGGGCTGGTGCCCCAATACTATTGTCCCAACTGCACTCCTATATCCTTCCCGAGCCCCCACATCCCAGCCCTAGGCAGTATGCAAGGGCAGAGGGAAGGACCATAACACAGTACCACCTGTATGTGATCCAGATGGCTCAAAAGTTATTAACTGAAGCTCAGTAATTCTGTGCAACATAGGGAATAACAGAGGGATCAGGATGCAATGAACGGGGTGGTTATTAGTGAATCCGCTGCTGATCATTAAATCACTTAATTAGATTATGTTACTGTGTTGACTCACCAATCAACACTACAGAGATGTGAACTGGTGTGTCTAAAGCCTGCAGGCTAAGGGGGGGCTCAGTCCCTGAGGTGACCCCCATCCGGACATCCTCTCACCTGCACCCCACAAAGCCCCTCCTGTATCCTCCACACTCATTCTGCATCCCCGTCATTCTCTCGGCATCCCCTCAACACAGTGTTTACCCTGTTGTTCCTGAATCCCCACCCGTGACCCACCAGCTTCCCTCCCGAGACCGCTGCCGCCCCTCTCACGCACCCCTGTGCCCCCAGAGCCCCCGCTCACCTGCCGCCGCCCCAGGTGAAGACCTCGCCGGCGGCGCCCAGCACCAGGGCGTGCTCCGTGCCCAGGGCGAGCCGCCGGGCGCGCAGTCCGGCCGGCAGCGCGGTGAAGAAGGGCGGCCGCGGCGTGGCGAAGCCGCCGGGCAGCAGCGGCAGCGGCTGGTGGGGCTCCGGCGGCAGCGCCCGGCTCCAGGCGGGCTCGTCCTGCAGCGCGCCCGTCACCGCCGCCTCCCGCCGCCAGGCGCGGGCCTCGGCCGGGCCCCGCAGCACGAGGTGCGTCTCGGACGGCAGAGCCTCGGCCCAGCCCGGCAGCCGCCGCCGCAGCCCCGCGCTCCGCACCTCCAGCCCCGCGCCTGCCGCGGCGGCACTTCAGAGACCGGCGCTGGGGACAGGGCGGGGGGCGGGACGGGGACAGCCCGGGGGTCTGGGAGGCCGGGACGGGAACGTCACGGGGGAACCAGCGGGGAGCGTCGCGGGGGGCGGGACGGGGACAACCCGGGCGAACCGGCAACGCATGGGAACGCAGACACAGCCGGGGGGACCGACACCGAGGGGAAACGGGGACATCCCGGGGGAACCGGCGGGGTGGGAGGGCGGAGGGGTCCCATCCCGAGTCAGGGGGCGGGGCGGACAGGACGGACAGAGGGGACCGGCGCGGTGGCGCGGGGCGGAACGGGGACGGGAACGGGAACCGTGCACCAGCCGGCAAAGGGCCACACCGGAACGGCGGGAGGGACCGGAGCACCGGGCGGGCCGGGGGCGCTCACCGGTCTCCACGACCACGTAGCTCCACGCGGGCCACACGCGGAGGATCCCCTCGGGACCCGCCTCCAGCCGCCGCGGCACTGGGCCCGGTCCCGGCTCCCCGGCCGCCTCCTCGGGGCTGAACCCGAACACGAGCCAGGCGCGGGCGGGCGCCGCCATGCCGGCGGAAGGGAGGGGCGGGACCGGAGGTGACGGCGGAGGTACTGACGGACAGATGGACAGAAGCTGGGCCGTGGTCCAGGAGCAGCTTTAGTGTCACCGGGCGGGCCCAGCCCCACCGCGCCGGTCCCGGCCCCGGCCCCGGGCCGGCCCTCCCGGCTAAGGCAGACGGTGGCAAAGGCAGCGGCGAGTCCCCTCCTCCTCCTCGCCCTGGGACACTGGGATGGTGCCGCCGGGCACAGCGTGGCCCCAGCCCCGGGCAGTGCTGAGCCAGCCCCGTGGGTGGCCGGACCCTGCCGGGGCCACCCTGAGAGCAGCGTGTGAGCACTGACCCCGGCAGCGTGTGCCGGAGCCCCGGCAGTGTGTGAGCACAGCCCCAGCAGCATGTGCAGCGTGTGCGAGAGCCCCACGGGCCCTCAGGCCTGGCCAGGGTTGGGCTTGATCAGGCCATAGGCCACAGCCTGAGCCAGGCTCTCCTGGGCTGCCTGGGCCACTCGTGGTTTGTCCTTGTCCTTGGCCAGCACGGAGAGGATCTCCAGCATCTCGCTGGCGATGAGCTGCTCAGCCACTTCCTGTGCAGCCGCCATCATGTTCATCACCACTACGGCGCCGCGGTGCTGCAGCTCGGGGCTGGGGCTCAGCAGCAGGGCCTGCAGGATCTCCAGCCAGTGCACCGTCTGTAGGAGAGTGGGGCCAACATCAGCATGGCCCCTCGAGAGAAGGGAGCCAGCTCCTCCCCCCCGACAGTCCCAGCTTAGTCAGGCTGAGGGGTCAGGACAGGTTCCCCCCTCTTCTGGGGCCAGCACTGGGACAGAGCTCCAGGCCACCGTGGGGAGGGAATAAGGGACACAGGGTGCTGTCCCGCCCCACTGCTGGGCGCTCACCACCTGGGGGATGCGCTTGCAGATGGGAGGGTGCAGGGCAGTGAGCATTGCCAGGGTCCCCGAGGCTGCCCGACGCAGCTTCTCATCTTCCTCCCCACTGTACAGGACCATCAGCTTTAGCCGGTCACTGCCCTCGGCCAGGAACAGCTCCTGCACCTGCACAACAGGAGGAGGAGGGGATGGGTGGGGGTGTGGGGGTCCAGCAGCCCAGCGCAGACCCCAGCCCAGCCCAGCCCTCACCTCCTTGCTCATGGCCATGTTGCACATACACTCAGTCGCAGCCAGCCGGATCAACTCGTGCTCCTCAAACATGTAGCCCTCAATCATGGGCACGGCCCGCTCCTTCAGGATCTTCTGCCTGCAGGATGGGGAGTGTGAGTGCTCCCTGCCCAGGGAAGCCCACTGGGCCTGAGGGAACAGCCAGCTCCCCTCTCCTCCCATTCTTACCGCAGCCTCTCGCTGATGCCGGCCAGGTTGGTCAAGGCCATCAGCCCCTCGAAGTTCTCCAGGCCCGTGCGCTGCAGGTGCAGGAGGCTGACCAGGGGTCGCACCACCTCGTAGATCTGTAGAGACAGCACACATGGGACTGAGTCAGTGCCCACTGCTGTTCTTACATGAGCCCCCAGTCGGCAGACCTGACCCCTATTCCCCAGCCACAGCACTCACCCGCTCCCCAGGGAACGCCATCTCTGGGTTAGAAGTGATGGTGATCTTTGCCAGGGCCTGTGCTGCCTTGGTCTGCCCCACCTCAGTGCCCTCCAGGGACAGTGGGATCAGAGCCTGTGAGCAGAAACAGCAGCTCGTCCTGCAGCCAGCCCACAGCAGCCTCATGTACGAGGCAGCCAGTCTGGCCCCTGCAAAGCAGAGACCCCCAGCCCCCTGAGCCCCAGCCATCCAGATCGGTGCAGGGCAACAGCACAGTGGGGTCCCATCCCCTCACCTTGCCTCCTCCCTGTGCAACCACACCACCCCGGTCCTCTGCCTCCTCCACCAGCGCCAGGAACACTCTAGGGACAAAGCGAGAGTAGCTGGAGCACCCAGACAGCTGCAGTGGGCCCAGGCTGCACCAGACTCCTGGACATTCCCTTACTGTCCAGGAGCCGTCATTCACCATGGACACGTAAGTTGGCCAGCAAGATGCCAGCAGCCTGGGAACCCAGCTCCCTCCTGTCCCTTGGCACACCCATACCTGGAGATCAGCTCCCGACAGGAGTTGGTGAGCGCCGGGTTCTCGCTTTTTACCATGCAGGCCAGAGCCGACACCACGCCGGCCATCAGCAGCTTCCGCACCCGCCGCTTCACGAACTCTGGCTTGTCCTGTCCCACAGGCGGGGTCACAATTGGCTCAGGGGCACCAGCTGGCCGGCGAGGTGCCTGACCTCACCCCTGTGGGCCCCAAGGACACCCTGTCCCACCCCTCCACTCTCCTCCTGAGCACAGCCGTACCCCACTCACCTTGGGGTGCTGCTCTGGAATGTGCTGCTTGGCGTACTTGGCCAGCTCCAGCATCTGCGGGTCCGGCTCCTCATGGTCGTAGCTGTTAGTGCAATTCACCAGCGTGGAGGCGACGGCATAGAGCACACTCCTGTCCTCCGACTGCAGTGGTAACGGTCACACGTCACACCCAACATCTTCCATATACCCCACCCCACAGCGTGAGCCCCACACCCCTTCTGGCATGTTTCCCTGGTGTCAGGGTGCCCACCCTGCAGTGCTTGGCACGTACCTTGGCCAGCTGGAACATGGCCTGCATTGCTGCCTTGTCCTCCACAAACTCCTCCTTGACATCTGCATCAAAGGTGAGGTAGGCCAGGCCTTCCACAGCCCAGCGCCGTGTGCCTGTGTCGATGGCCTCATTGCAGAGCCACCTGGGAGAACAGTCCTTGAGCCCAGCTGCAGGAGCCCATCTGTGAGGCACCCTGTCCACTCCCTCCACACCCGGCCCCACTCACTTGCGGCACTGCTTGGCCAGCTTCATGGTGGAGCCCTCGGCAAACTGCTTCATGCTGAAGTCTGTGCCGCCAGCAGATCCCAGCTTGCAGAGCCCCTGCAGCCACGAGCAGAATGTGGGAGCAGGAATGGGCACGAGCATCCCAGTGTGCCTCCCAGACCCCCAGCAGGGAAGGGCAGTGCTGTGAGTGGTGGTCCTGCACCCACAGCCCGCCCCGGGGCTCATCCCCGCCGCTCCTCCATCCCGCCGCACTCACCACGAGCGCACGGATGCGGATGCTGTCCCTCTCGCTGTGCTTGTAGATCTCCTTGAGCAGGCTGACGCCGTTGGCTGTGATGAAGGAGGCACGCTTGGCCTTGTCAGCCGCATGGATCAGCGCCTCCACCGCTACCAGCTGGTGGGCCTCACTGACAGAGGCACACAGGGACAGCACGCTGTCCATGATGCCCTCCAGCTCCAGCACCCTGTTGCCTGCATCCAAGGGGCCCTGCAGCAGGCATGACACCGTCTGGATGGCCCGCAGCTTCCCCAGCAGTTCGTGCCCCTCGAACCAGCCCCTGTGCACAAAGACCACCAAAAAAGGTCAAGCTGATCCCACCTGCTGCCTCCTGCCCCACCTGCTGAAAACCCCCACAGTGTGTCTGCAATTGACTTTAGCACTGAGGGTGACAGGTGCTACCAGGTTGCAGGTGACCAAACCCCCGAGCCCCTGAGAGCCCTGGGTCACCTCACGTAGTCCTCGCACAGGTGGTGGAAATTTTCCCTCTCGGCATCGCACTTCAGGTCCTCGTACAGTTTGCTCAGCAGGACAGAGGCACTCATCCGGCTGTTCTCCGTCACAGGCAGGCTGCCCGGGCTGCCGCACACCGTGCTGCCCACCTCCAGGATCTTCTTCAGGCCTGGGTGGGGTCAGACACCCTGGTGAGGGGCACATTGGCGTGTGCAGGACCATAGCAGAGGGGCACAATGCCTCAGTGGGACGCTACTGGCCATTCTGCTCACCCTGGTCAATCACCCAGAGGCTCATGCTGTTGTTGGTCTCCTTTGGCGACTTCCTGGGCACCACCTTGATAAGCAGGTTGAGGGCGTTGTCACGGCCGTGTGCTGAGGCCCCTTCCAGTGCCAGCAGCTCCAGGAGGTGCTTGATCAGCAGTTTCAGGTCCTTAGAGGAATCTTCCAGAAGAGATAGTGCCCAGCAGTCAGTGCCTTGGGCACAGCCTCACCCCCACTGTGGTACAGCTGGCAGAGATGCTGCCATGACCAGGGACTTCTGCCTCCTGTTAACCCTGGACCAAAGCCTGGCTTTGCCACAGGGAGCAGTGACAGGGTGGACAGCAGAAGAGCCCACGGCAGCTCTGCACTTCCCTGGGACTGTCCCCTCCCACCAGCCAGCAAAGGCTGCCCACACTCACCAAGCACCACTGCGTCCTCCTTCCCACGGAAATCCTTCTGCAGCCCCTCCTTCAGGGAATCGAACATCACATGCAGCAGGTTGCAGGCAGCCAGGGACACCTGCTCGTGCTCCACACCCAGCACTGCCGAGAGACGGGGGGCCCCCAGCTCCGCCAGGATGGCCGAGGTCTGCAGGTACAAGCACACCTGCCTGCTGAAGGCCCTGGGGAAGCCTTGGCACTTACCAGCCCCTTATCAGGATTCTTCCCTCTCACAAACTCAGGCCTGGCACATGACAGCTCAGAGCTCCCGTCTGACACTTTGCAGCCTCCCCAGCGTGGTTCTCCCCTGGGCGCAGCGGTACCTACCCGGGAGCGGTGGCCGGAGCACAACCCCACCAGCGTGCGCAGGGCTGCCAGCATCAGGTCAGCCTTGGCCGTGTCCAGCAGCTGCGTCAGCAGCCGCACACCATCACTCTGGAAGATCTTCTCTGCTCCGGCCTCCTCTCGCGCCAGCACGATCAGGTTCTGCACAGCCTGGGAAAGGAGACTCCTGTCTAGATCACCGGCCCACCGTACACAGGAACCCCCGGCAGCCGCAGGCACCCGCCCTCCACCGTCTCAGGGAGCACATTCTGCAGGGGGGAGCCTGGTCTGCCCAGGCAGCACCGCTAATCCACTGTGGACCTGGGAGCACTGATCCTCCCCTCCTCACCTCCCAGCCACAGCGCTACCCCATGCTCCCTGAGCTCAGACCTTCTGCTTCTTGTCCTCATCCTCTTCTTTAGGATCCAGCAAGATCTGGAACATCTGCTGTACCTTTGAGTCCGTGCAGGACATGGTCTTCATCTGAGAGAGAGCAGAAAGAGCAACTCAGCCCTCCTTGCCTCCCCCAGCTGTCCACAGCCACAGGGGGCCCAGCAGTCCCCCACTGCCCCCCCCACTGACCTTCTCGTGCATGCTGCTGCCCAGCGCACGCAGGGCCTCCTGGAAGGCCTTGTTCCTGGGCTCCAGGCTAACGCACCGCTGCAGGTCACCGACGGCCTGGTCCAGGCGGCCCAGCTGCTGCAGCGCCTGGCTACGGCGGAACAGCGCCTTCACGTCCCGGCCGTCGGCCTCAATGGCTGTGCACAAGAGGGTCTATCGCAGAGCCCCCAGCCTGCCCTGGCCTGCCCTGGTGGGCAGCACAGAGGACAGCCCCCCTCAGCCCCACTGACAGTACCTTTAGTTGCATCAGCCTCCGCCTTGGCGTAATCCTCCTGCAGAGATTTGGGAGAGGCAAAACCTGAGGGCTGCCCAGGCAGGCCCCACGTAGACCAACACCCCCCGTTTTGGGGAGCAGGGACAGGCTGGGAACACCGTCACTGCAGACTGTGAGCCAGCCCAGCGGGACACCCTGTCCTTCCCAGAACACAACCCTCAAGGGATCCCTGTGGAGCCCTATCAGGTGCTTCTGGTCTACTCAGGCCCCTGAAACTCCTTGTGTTCCCCCCTTGCCTCAGAGACAGTTCCCCAGCGGGAGATCAGAGATGCTGTGACTGCCTGGGGACAGCCCCAGGGCACATGCACAGCCCAGGCACAGATGGGAGCGTCCTGGCCCTAAAGCCCACCCGGGAGGTGGGGCAGCAGGGGACAGCGGGTAGGGACAGGGGAAAAGGTGAGCAGAGACAACATCTGATAGTGCCCTGTCTGGAACCAAGAGCATTCTACTTGGGGACCGACACTGCCCCCGGCGCAGGGAGCACCTGGCCAAGGCAGACAGCCCCAGCCGGCCGGGCAGGTTCCTGCGGGGCCGCCCCGCCCGCGCTCACCAGTTTCAGGTAGCAGGCGGCCCGGTTGCGGTGCAGCACAGCGCGCTCCGGCGCGGCGTCGCTCAGGCTCAGCGCCTCCGTGTAGGCAGCGAGGGCCGCGCCGTGGTCCCCCGCCTGGAACAGCGCGTTGCCCCGCGCCCGCAGTTGCTCCGCCGTCACCTGCCGACGGGGACCGGTTGGGACACGGCCCCGGGCCCCGCATCGGCGGCCGCCCGGAGACGGGCCCGGGATCCCGGGACAGGGAGCCCCCGGGACAGGGACCCGCCCGCCCCACCACGCCGGTCTCGGCCCCGAGCCCCCCCAGTCCCGTCCCGGTCCCGGTCCCGCCCGTCTCCGCTCACCGGCTCCTCCATCGCGCCCGTGACGTCACCGCCGATCGCCCGGGGAACCCGGACGCCACCGCCCGTGTCACGTGACGGGGAGGGGCCGGGCCTGCAGCGCCGCCCCGCGGCCCGGCGGTCCCGGCACCGACCGCCTGCGGCCTGGTGCCCGTCCCCGCGCGTCCCCCCGGACACCCCCCGCGCTGCACCCCGGTGCGAGTGACACCACCCCCGACACCCTTCCCCACCCGCGGGCCCCCCTCAACAGCCCCGGCTGGGGCGTGGCAGGCTGGGGGCACCGTGGGAAGGCTGGGCACAGGGCGGGGGCCCTCCCCGGGGTCTGCAGGGTGGGCAGCGGGCGCAGGGCAGGAGGCGGCCGAGGTGGCAGCGTCGGGTCCAGTAGAAGTGGCAGAGGTCGATGGCCATGAGCAGGAGGACAAGGAGCCCGTAGAGCCCAACGAAGGGCAAGGCCAGTGGGTTCCTGCGGGGGGGGTGCACTTCAGGAGGGGCAGCCATGGCCCCCCCCAGCACAGCGGCACTAGGGAGGGCCACCCAGGGCCCAATGTGGGCTCCAAGAGACACCACAGGCCCAATGCCAACAGCCACGGGAAGTCCCTGGGGTTGTGCTGGGATCCCCGAGCAGCACACCCAGCCCCAGTCCTGCTCACCGGAGTAGCTCAGGGCTGGCCAGGCTGGAGAGGTTCACCCCGGTGAGGGCCTCCAGGGCCAGCTGGGAGCAGCAGGACTTGAGGGCGTGCGGGCTGGGCTGGCAGCAGTAGCGGTGGCCGGGGGGGTCAGTCAGCCGTGGGCAGTAGAAGCCGGGGTGGGAGCGGCCGTCACGGCCAACGTAGCCCTCGCAGAGGTGCAGGTTCTGCACTGAGACTGCAGCGGGTAGCAGGGGCTTGGAGAGGGCCAGGAGGGAGTCCCCACTGCGTGAGCCACACGGTGCCGGCGGGACAGGCTGCCAGCTCCAGCAAGGTGGCCCTTGCAGGGATGCCACAGAGCAGAGCCTTCCCAGTCCCCGCAGGGATGAACTGGAGCTCACTAGCCCCAGGGGACCTGGCTAAAATGACACAGGGACCCTTGGCTCAGCTCTCAGCATGGGTTCCAGCCCCCCGGCAGTGCCTGCTGGCAGCCACGGCCCCGTGTGTGCCGTGACCACCAGTGCTTGCCATGGCCTCAACAAGGGCAAACATAGGTGAGGAGGGTGATGGTAGCAGAGGGGAGGGGAAAGCCCTTGGGGACATCAGGTCAGCCCCATCTCTCCATGCTGAATCCTTCCCTGTTCCCCATGACCCCACAGGGACAGCACGTACACCCCACAGATGTGCTGTAGTGGGACCAACCCCAGCACCACCACACCTCGGCCACCATCCCCAGCATGAACCACCACCTCCCAGTGTGGACCACTGCCTCCTAGCACAGACGCCCCCAGCCTCTGTTCTGGGCTGTCAGGGAGCAACTCCCAAGGGACAAAGCTTCGTCAGGGATGGGGAGGACAGGTTCAGGGAACAGGAGGGGCAGGAGTGGGGCTGTACCTGTCCCAAGGATGCTGGGGAACAGAGCCGTGGTGAGGAGCAGCTGGAGCAGGAGCCCACCCAGCATCATCCTGGCCGACCCTGAGCAGAGGCAGCTCTGGCTGCAGTGGAGGCAGAAACCACAGCCACTCCTGCTCCCGCCTCCATCGCAGCCCATCAAGAGCCGCTCAGAGCCATTAGAGCCTCCTGCACTCACTCAGGCTCAGTCCACAGGGACCAGGGCGGAGGCGGGAGCATCAGTAATGAGCTTCTGGGGCCAGGAGCAGGACGGGCCAGGAGCTCCTTCCCCACCCAGCCACGGATCAGCAGCCACAGAGTCCAGGGCCCTGGTTGGGCACCGGGGCCCGTCCCAGGATCCTGGAGTTATGGCAAGGGCTGTGGGCCAGGCCAGGGCATGGGGTGAGTGCCTGGCACCAGGTGGGGGCAGGTCACCTGTGCTGCAGTCCCTCGGCACCCACTCTCTCATCACCCACCCCTGGGCAAGGCCCTGTGCCAGCCCCCTGGCCCCCCACCAGCCATGACATTAGCCAGGCTCCAGCAGAGGGTCCCCATGCCAGGCATCCTCCGGGCACTGCAAAGGGCTGAGCTGCTGGAGCTGGTCCATGCTGGCTCCATGAACTCAGCCCCTTCCAGGGCTGTGGGATGCAGGACCATGGCCGAGCCTGTAGCATGCAGAGGTGCCGAAGGCTGTGCAGGAATCATGGAAGCACAGAATCATTTAAGTTGGAAAGGACCTCTAAGTTCATCAAGTCCAATGAAGCCAGGGCTGAGGCAGCTCCCCTGCCTCCCCCTGCAGCCCTCCCCGCTGGCAGTAATTAGCCCCAGGGGCCAGGGAGCTGGCAGCCCCTGCGGTTCCCACAGCAACCGGGAGGATGCTCTGGTGAGGTGGCATCAGCACCTGCACCTCAGCTGCTGCAGCCTCAGCAGAGTCTGAACTGCCAGGCTCACACTGAAACGGGGCTAAAGGCTCTGGATTTGGGAGAGGCCATTGCCATGCTTCCCCCAGTTGTTGCTGCCAGCACAAGGAGCTGCCTGACTCCTGTCCCCCTGGCTCCTGCTGCCAAGCATGGCTGGGCCTGGCCATGCCACCAGCCTCTCACACGTGCCCAGGGCCCACACCCAGCTCGGGATCTAGGAGCACTGGCAGGGCAGGGACCTCAAAGAGCAGAGGACGGCACAGCTCTGACAGCCCACCCAGCAGACCCAGACTGACCTTGGTCCCGAGCCAGACTCCCTGCCTTGGGTGCTGCCCTGTCTCCCCATGGCGCACTGTTCCCACTCACCTGCACGGGAGGCACAAACCACACACAGACTGGGCCCTTGGAAACGGCCTCGTGTTTCCTACGAGCTCCAGGTGAGCTCAGTCTCTAGTCCACAGCACCTCTCCAGGCAACTGCCCAACACCACCAATCAGCCCCATGCTGCTCCGCTAGGCCAGGGGAGCCCAGCACAGGCCCTGCCCCAGCCACTGGGGTGGCCACACTCTCGGGCAGCCTGTGAACATGGCAGGGCAGCAGTGCCCATCCCACCAGCAGCAGCAGAGCCTGGCCTGCTGCCCCTGCCAGCTGTGCTCAGCCCACCTGGCACCACATTCCGCAGCCTCCACCCAGCCCCGCCACAGCAGTTCATTCCAAAATCTATCTGAGAACGTGGGACTAATAAATTAGAAGGCAGCAGCAGCCTCTGCAAGTCCAGTGCCTCCTGCCCGCGCCCAGCACAGTGCTGCTGGCCCTGCTCTCCTGCAGTGCTGGTGCTGCTCCCACGCTGCCCAGTCACTCTGCTCCTCTCCCGCTCCACACACTACCCAAGGCGGATGCGGAATGTGGCAATTTCCATGGGGTCCAGGTAGATGTTGGTGCTGTTGGAAGCCGTGCCCAGTGGATACATCAGCGTCAGTGAGGTGGGCTGCAGGGAGCCCAGCTCCAGCCCCTGGAACAGGCCTCCCAGGACCAGCTGGGGAGAGAGGAGGGAGAAGAGAGGAGGCCTGGGTGCTGCCTCTGGTGCCTGGGGCAGCCTGATATGTGGCATGCCAGCCGTGCTGAGGTCCAGCCTGGCTCTGACCCAGTGTGGGTGTGGGGCAGCCTAGCCCTACCTTGCCCTGGCTGGTAGTGCAGTTGAAGCCCAGGTTCTTGGCCTCCAGGCTGCAGTCAAAGCCTTTGCGGTGCAGAATCAGCGCTGCCTCGGTCGAGGGTAGTGAGTCATCCTGGGGGAAGCCAGGGCGTGAGGCACAACAGTGCGGACAGCAGGGCAAGAGCCCCCCAGAGTCCTGTCACACCCAGGCTGTAGCTCACTTCTGCCTGCAACATCCGCAAGTTAAGGATGTGGAAGTCGCAGGGGAGGGTGGTGGCGAGGGGCACGAAGGAGCGCAGGGCTGGCACGGCTGGCTTCTCCTGCGCCACCGGCATGACCAGGGCTTCGGCATTCAGGTGCATGGAGGTGATGTGGCTCAGCAGGGAGGGGAAGCTGATGGGGCGTTCGTCCTGCACCTGCCGAGGAGCACATGGGTCAGTATAGGCCTGGGGAGCCGCAGGCCAGGCAGAGCCTGGGCAGGGCCCACAGAACGAACCACTGCTCCAGCAGTGCCCCGAGACCAGGCACCTGCGGGCACAGGGCACCCAGAGCTGCCCCCACCCAGGCAGGACTCCTTCCCCAGCACCCAAACAGGACCCCATCTAGCTGATGCTCAGACTACGGACCTGCTACGGGCCTGGCTAGGCTAGTGGCTAGCAGCTAGTGCACAAGACAGGGAGAGACAGTGGGGCCAGGCCGGCCATTACCTCAGGGCTGCCAGTCCTGATGCCAGGGAAGCCCAAGGCTTTAAACATGGAGACCAGTTTGGAAAAGAAGCCGGAGCTCTGAATGGGTGACATGGCGCAAGCATAGAGGGCAGCGAGGGGATGGGACAAGAACACTGTGATTACAAGGGCAATGCGGCTCCACAGGGACAGATCCCACTGCACAGGTCCCACCCTCCCCGTGCCCCCTGCTCCAGGCCCATCTCTGCCTAGAGCCAGCGCAATGGGACAGGAGGGGAGCAGATGCTGCATCCCATCACACATGTGGCTTTCTGCAGGTGCCTCCACCCTGCTCCATCCCAAGGCAAGGCTGGGCATTCCCATCCCGTGGCCTCACAGCCCAAGCACCTTGTTGGCAGTGGTGCGGCGCTCCAGGAGGAGCCGGAATCGGTTGCAGGTTCGCTTGTTGTCCTTCAGCCCCTGGCCCAAGCCCCGGTTGTCATCCTGCATGAGGCGCCGGTCCAGGATCACCTCCAGCTGGCCTGTGAAGAGTGGGTCCCCATGCCCCAGGCTTTACCAGGAGCCAGCCACCCCCCATGGCATGGAGCTCCCAGAGACAGCAGGACCAGGGTACCCTGTGCCCAGCCTGCAGCACCCTCCTCCCCTACACCCCCCGGGGAGGGGAGCCCCAGCTCTACAGCAGGTCTCCAAGGCAGAGGCCTCCAAGACACAGGCCTCCATCTCACCGCTGCGGAGGCTGGAGACTCCCAGGGCCTGGGCTGTGAGCAGCGTCAAGCGGCTCTGCATGTCCTGGATGTAGGCCATGGCAGGCATGGGGTAGAAGTTGGCCTGCAGCGGCAGCTTCCGCTGGTACCTGCGGGGCTGGATCTGTCAAGGGACAGAGGTCAGTGGCCAACAGTGGCTCCCACAGTGTCCAGCACTGGGTGCCAGGGAACTGTCCTGCTGTGGGCAGGTGCTGTCCCTCCCCAGGCTGCCGCATACCTGGAAACCATTGAGGTCCGTGAAGAAGGTGTTGTCGCTCTCAATGTCGGTGCTGAAGCGCAGGGCCAGCTCCTTGTTGATGTGGTCACGGATGTCCACCAGGCAGGACACATCCAGGGACAGGCCCTCCACCCCTGCAGGTAGGCAGTGAGGGGCTGGGCCCCACAGGCAGCATTGCCCAGCACCACTGGGCCAGTGACACCCCGGCACCGCCTCAGGATCTCACCTGGCACATTGTACAGCCGCACCATGGTCTGAACGTGCTCATAGTAGCTGGCAACCTCTGAGAAGAGGGGTCCCTCCGTTACCCGCACCACTGGGGGGTTCTTGGGGGCATAGGGCTGGGGGGAAGGAGCGCTGTGCTGAGGCTGCTGCCTGAAGACAGTCCCGCAGGCACAGCTGCCAGCTGGCTAACAGGACAAACCCTATACCTTGGCTTCTCCATCAGGCAGGAAGAGATAGGCCCCACTTTTGTCCTTGGAGGTCCTGGTGCCGTAGACGAGGAACTCGCTGCTCACCCTGTGCCCCTTTTCCTCCCCAGCTCCGCGTATGCTCTGCGGGTGCAGGCCAGCACAGCCATGAATGCAGAAGGCAGCATGGTGACCCCCTCCCCTCCTCCACTCCAGAGCCCCACATTCACCTGCAGCAGGCCCGAGTGCCCTGAGAAGCAGGCCTGCAGGTGTTGGTTCTCCAGGCAGAAGTCATCGGCAGCAGCCGGGAAGACTTGCAGGGGCACAGTCTCAGGCTTGCGCACAGGCAGGTCCCGGCCGTGCAGGTACAGGCGCGTGGAGGACTTCAGCGTGGCACGGCCGTCCAAGGACCTGTGCAGCTGCAGCACACGCAGCCCCAGCGCGGGCAGGCGGGCCAGCACAGACACCTGCAGGCAGTATGGGGACCTGAGCCAGCCCCCCGCGCCTGGGGACGGACTGGGAGTCGGTCGGGCAAAGGCCCCACTTGGCACTGTGGGGCCTCCGCTGAGGGGAGACGTGCATGGGGGCCCGGTGGTTTGACAGCTGTGGGAGCTTGTGCTGTGGGGCAGGGACAGAGCAGGGCTGACAGAGTGTCCTGGCAGTATGCAGGGATGGGAGGCTGGCATGCA